CATTCTATGCAATCTGAAGCTCTACATTTAATTGTACTTAACACTTAAAACACACATATACACCGTTTGGTTTAAACAATTCACTACTAATGTTTCAGCTTTCCACTATTTTGCAGCTCTCTGCTGCCAAACAGACCCTTAGTAAAAGACCTGTTAAGAGGAGCCAAAAACCACTTAATAATTCTTCAGAATCTGGAAATTTTAAAAATGATACCATTAGACCTGCTGAAGTGAAGAAACTTTTAACAAAGGCACCCACTTTGCCTGCCACTCGCAAATCATTGCCGTCCACACCATCTCCAAGAGCTAACACTCATACGCCTTCAACAGCCACCAGCTCCCCTGCTGCTATGCGCAGAAGATCACAGCCAACAACACCAAAAGTTGAGAGGACCACACCACTGCCCTCAACAAAGTCTGCTAAAAACAGTGCAGGAAGCACTGGTGACAAGAGCCATCCAGCAGTGACCAAATCTATCAAGCCTACAAAAGCGCACATCACTGATCAAACCAAGCCAGCAGTGACCAAACCTAACAAGGTATCCAAGAAAAGCAGTGTGGTTCCCCTGGAGTCGAAGGAAACTCCAAAAGAACCAAAAGCCTTTCTTCGCAAAGGCTCCAAAGCGGGACCCACACCTACAGGACCTAGCCTAAGTCCCATCACAAGAAAGAAAACTACCCCACAAGAGCAGTCCTTGAGGGACTCAGTTGATTTGGTTGAAAATCCTATTATATGTGCACTCACCGATCAACAGGGGGACGGATTTATTGATCAAGAAGGCCCTGAGACTCAGTCAAACAGCGCACCGAAATGTTTAGAGACAGAATGTTCTGACATACTTACCCTGGAAAACGAAAATGATTTTTCTGAGAATCTAGAGGAAATTGTGATTGAAGAAGAACAAGTGATCAACATATCCCCAACAGCCTGGGTGGAAATAGAAGAGGTCGACGGTGGAAACTCTTCAAAGGTTGACGTGGGGCCCTTGAATGCTGGCAGTCCACCACGAGTACGCCATTCTTTGTCTCAAATGCTGATGGAGGAAAGCAGTGAACCTGAGATTGTGGAGTGGGGGAATGCAGAGAACCCGCCAAACATGGTGTATCAGAAGGAAGCGCCGAAAGGGTTCAAGAGACTCCTTAAGTTTGCGAGAAAGAGTAAGACTGATGGTGAGGATGACAATGAGGAAACTAAAGGAGGTTCTAAGAAGGGTTCTGACAATCCACTACTTAGGAAGGACACACTTCATGCCCATCAAAATTCAACTACCCATCAACATCCTGGTATACCTTTTTAGTCACTTCCTATTTTGTCCTAAAAAACAACATAGCATGCTTATAGTAATGTAGGAACTAATCTTTCTCTTTATCTTTTTCTTTTTTTAGGACAAGCAACTATAGGAAAGTTAGCTGCTCAGAAACGAGAGGAAGGTCACATTTCAGCATCAGTAACCTCTTCAAAAGGTCAGTTTTTTACTTTCTTTTTCTGGGTTATACGTAGTATATGTTTTTCTTCCCTGTGCAAACATCACGTTTTTTTGTTCTAGCTCCTTGTAAATTGTATGTTTTGCTTTACATCCCTTTGAGTTGTGTTGTGTTTCCTTTTTCTGGGTTATCTATAATATTTTCAAGACTTGTGGACAAAAATATGACATGGTCAATACAGTGTGAAAAGTCATCCAGGGTCAGTGTATATTTGAACATCAGTACGCCACTACACCAGTGTGGTCAAGTCACTTCAAATTCATACTTGTCCATCATTTTTATTTTAGTAATATATTTATATTTATATTTTTTATTTTTCTTATCTTTTGGGAATAAGGCTTGGATGATGATGATTTGCCCTTTTCTCTTTCTTTCTTTCTTTCCTTCTAGTCCCTTTCTTAATAGAAATGTTTAGTATTTTATGTAAACAGAGATTGTCTAAAACAAAAATGGCGTAAACGGTATATTTGCAGGGACGAAACACATATTGAAGCTTTTCTTAAAGTCACTCTTATATCCAAACATTTTTATCACAGTAGCTCTATGCAAATCTCTAGCAGTAGCAGGCATATGTTTTTTTGTCATCTTTAATAGTATGAATGCCTTTCATTTCAGCATCGAGATCGTTTTTCTCTCTTTCAGCATTCAAGGGGAGCAAGCATGGCGAATCTAAGCTTCGATAACACACAGTGGTCCTAATCTTATCGTCTCTCATAATCAGTGTAACTTTAGCTTCGGCCATGTCCAAAGAGGTGGTGGAGTACATGCTGTAGCATATCTTGTTCATATGCACTTCATAGATCTTACTGTTTTTGCTTGAAGATTCATATCTCCGTTTTATTTTTCAATAGAAACCAAGGTATTTTTTGTAAGATCAAAAACCAATGTTGAATATGTAGTTTTATGCAGCCTGATCTTTGTTTATATCTTGTACAATAAGTTTGCAATTTAATGCTAAGCAGCCTGACCTTTTGGTCACTCTATTTTCTTTTTTTGGAGTCTGTTTGGATGTACATTTTGAATGAACTATAATGCTTTTGGTGAATTTAAGTGTTGAGTTAATCATAATTACTGAAACTAGTACTCCATCTGCCTATTCTCCTTGTAAATATTTGTACATTGATGTATACTCATTTTATGCAAGATAATAGAAAAACTATTTCATCATTATTCAATATGGTGTCAAGGGCCAGGTCATCCCCAACCTGATTTCAAATCTGACACTGATGAACAGTATCATAATTGTTTTTCCTGTTTGTCCCACGTCACACAAGCCATGACAGATGGTACGGCAGGTGCCCAAGCCAGATCAGTTTATGAAATTGATTGAATTTGTTAAAATTGATAAAGTTCTGACCAAAGTGGTTGGATTGATTAAATTTGTCAAATTATAAAAAAATTAAAATATTTTTATTAAAAAAATAATGAAAAATGTATATGAAAAAGCTAAAATCATTTTCTACATAAAAATACGTTTAATTTTATTTTGATTATTACATAATTTAGCATTCAAAATCAAAAGGTATGTATTTATTGAAAAGTTGATCGATAAGCTTAAAGTAGGTCTCACCAAGCCGGCTCTTAGTTGCTCATTGATGCTCAACTATGCACCTTGTAAAGGCAAACTCCACCACCAAAAGTTATCTCCATGTTCCTATCATTCAAAACATATGTTCCATGTTCCTATCATTCAAAACATATGTTTCGAACATAGATTCACATCAAGTACCATTACAATTAGATTCTACTCTCATGGATGTTAAGAAATTAAGGGTGCCAATGGAAACATTTTTGGGGATTTAGTGGTTAATGTGTGAGTTTAGTACTCTTATACTATTGAAACGTTTGCCCCATATCAGACTATATGAAAACAATAAAACACTATATAAAGTTTCGAGCTACTCCTCTTATCTATTAACCTTTTAGGATGAAATCTTGAATTTTGGGTGAGAAACTTTGGGCCTCTCTTAACTAGGAACAAGATATGGAACATATATATAGTCAAATAGAAGTTTATAAATGAGCTAACCACTCTTCTCTTGCTTATCAGTTTTCAATCTCATTGCGGTCGAGGTAGTGGCTGAAGCTCTTCTGCTCTTGTACTAAGCAGAGGAGGTCGTGACAGAAATTCAGCTTTTGCATGATTATAAAAACAACATATCAATGTTAAGGCTTTTAAGTGTCTGCCTTTGAAAATTTTATTTAGCTTATCAGTTAAAATTCCCTCTATTTACCATTAATCTGTTTAACCTTGCTAAATGAATTTGTGAGCAAGGAAAAGGTTGAAACAAAAGAATACAATACTTCTACCTTTATGTTTTAATTTTGTTTTATAGCTCTTAGAAATACTCCAAATGTTCAAACTTTAAAGAGATTATTTTAAGCTTATTTCGTGAAAGAGTCCGTTTGTATAATTATTTGTTCATGAAAGACTGAAAGTTACAGACGAGTTTAATATGATAAGCTTTCCAATAATAAAACTAAAATGTGAACTTTTTAGAGCTACAACTTGATGGATTTAAAAGTTGTACATGCAACAACATGACCTTTGTAGTGATTTATCGTGTATAGAACAACTCTTTTTGTCGAAGAAGTTGAAGTTATTGTAGAACGACAATTCTCGCCTAGAATCGTGGGTTTTCCTAGAATGTTGAGTTCCGCCTAGAACTGTGAGTTTCGCCCAGAGACGAAACTGCACACTTATGTAATCATACAAAGAATGCATATCCATGCATGAGTCAAACAAAAAAGCATGACTTTACTTTTTAAAAAGATTTATGGTTCCACTATTAAAGATTGAGGGGCAATAACCCGAAATTTAAGGGTGGACCGGCCCCAGGACGGGACTGATCAGGACTGGGGACCAGGGTTGCAGGCCCGGTACCGGCCCGGGTTTGTACTGGAACCGGGCTGGGTCGGGGCCGGGTCAATATTTTTTTAAAATGTCTTTTCTAATTAATTCCTACCCCCCACCCACCTAGCCGCAGCCCAAAACCAAAAAATCAAAAAAAAAATTGGGCCAGGACCGGTCCCCCAATTCCCTGTCCCGTAGCCCGCCCCCCAGTTCAGGCCTCCCAGTCCCGATACCGCCCGGCGGGCCAGGTCGGGCCTGCACAGTGGCAGGCCGGGCCGGGTCCCTGACTGGGCCGACCCGTCCGAGTCCATCCGTAGCCCGAATCTTCCAATATGGATCAAAATCATCAAATACTTCCATATTTTGCCAGAGTGAGATTTTATTCACCCTTACCGTAGAAGTGAAGAGGGTGAACATAATCCTCACTTTCTTCGCAATAATTGGCAGCCACATAACAGCAATTAATAGGTGTATTATTTTTAAAATGCTTTTAACTTTTTATTTGTGCACACATTTTTATGAGCTTTCATATGCCACCAATATTGTATATATACAATTTTCGAAGAATATTATCATTTTTTACTAGTTATTCACCATAATTTCAAATGAGATTCTTTTGTACTCAGTATTACATGTGGCATATTGATGTCCTATCGTTTCAAGTTAATACTTTATTGGTTATTTCAACCATTCATTATTAGTATTCAATTTCTTGTGGATTCAATCCATAGCACATGCAGTACTTTAATTCATTTATGGTATTTGCAACAACAAAAACATCGCATTATAAATAGTAGCAGTGAGTACTGATTATAAAATGGTAAACTTTACAATCAGGTGCCACCAATTCCACATGGAAATATCAGGCCTGTATGAGATCCAAAATGCCGCAAAAAGATTTCATATGCTCTCTTTGTAGTAATTTCAGCATTGCAGTCTCCGAGTTGCATTTGAATGGATCGGAGTTTAACCAATTCGTTTCCGATGACAATGTGATTTGAACCATAGAGTTTCTCAAGGATCTGCATTTAGCATTCAAATTCTGATGAGAGGAAAGTTCTAAAAATGGGGTTTAGTGTGCTGGGTGATAAATCTATTCATATTCAGTTAATACATTGATAACAGGAAGCCCTGTACAAGTTCAATATCATGGGAATATATGAATCTAGAAGTCTTTGTGCTCTGTTTTCATCTTAACAATATCGAATGACTAGTTTTAGCTTTACCTGCTCTATTACGATATTAATACTTATTGTTTCATTAAAAAAGGTACACCGTACACATAATAATAGAGTAATTCAAAGTCTTATATGTTAGGAACTTAGGAATAGTTTGTTATTTTAAGATATGTATCTAACGTGAGATGACTTGACAACACAAAGTGTTCCCAGTGCGGAGATGTGTTTTAAGAGATATGCACCTTGATGGACAGTTTACAATGATCAATTGCAGCTTGTGGTTCTCCAACCAAACACATCGCCTGTGCAATATTGTCCTCAAACTGAAACTTGTAAACTCAGGATGAAGACTTATGATTCTCAAAACGCAATATTACAAAATCAACTTTGCTTCAAAATTGCAATAACTATGGGGGGATAAGAGTCGTTCACCTCAGCTATTCTCTTGTTACATGGATGCAGTGTTGATCTCAGAAGATTAGAAACCATCAAGGCATTGGAAAGTGATTCAGCTTGGAAATCATTGATACTTATTGCATCTTGCAACCTATATACATATGGCACACATACTTCTAAGATTATCACAGGTACGCACTTGTGTAATTGTGATTGTATTCTACATTTTGTCCCTAACTTTTAATTTTTCCTGTTTTGGTTAACAACTATGATTTTCTTGCCACTTTTGGTCACCAATCTAACCAAATTTCATATTTGTTGGCTACGTGACCAAAAAGAACTAAAAGTGAGCAGAAATCCATTCTCGTGCACCAAAAGTGAAAAAATTTGAAACTGTGGTAGCAAAAGTGGTAAAAATCGAACAGCAGTGGGATTATAAGTGTTTTTTTGTGATTGGAGAGATTAATGAATAAATCTGTTATGTACCTTCTGATACAATTCTCAGCTTTGCTGATTGCAGCAGAGGCAGATTCTAGATCACAATATGAACCACAATTCAAGCAATGCCCAGGATTTAGATAATTATAATCTTGTTTATCGACCACATAATGAGCCAGTCCAACGATTCCATTATTTCCAGTACTTTCAACCTTCAGATTTCAAAAGTAAAGGCAAAGGAATAGCCATTATAAATGTATTATATGAAATAGCAAAGGCAAGGCAAGCAAAAGATGAACAAGACACAGAATATGAGCAATGTACACTGTAGATATTAATTACCACCATCACTGCAGAGTGCAGAGGACTGGAATTGAGGCTTGGAACATTTGCCAATCACCAATGACCTCGCGGTAATACAATATAGAAAATTTTCTTCTTTTGGTCTCACGATGATTAGGTCATTCCTACTTGTAGTCCCCAACTATATTAGCAAGACAGCGGGAACTAAAAATTTATTGCCAACTTTGGTCCTTCCGGACCATTTATCCAGCAAAAGTCAACAAAAATTTCTACTAAAATTGGCCAGGTGTGATCACAAGGACCACAGTGCCAAGAAATCCATAGTCAATGCATTAGTAGTGGAAAAACTGATAAGTGGAGACCAAAAGTGTAGGACCTAATAGTCATGGGACACAAATGAAAAGTTTCTATTCAGATATTTATCCTCCTAAATATCCAAATAATTCTGCCATATGCAAAATACCTGCTTCGGAGTGTAGGGAATGATCGGGTCGCCAAAGATGGGGTCTACATTTTGTTTCACATAGCTAGCGAGTGTGCTGTCAAGAACCACACCATCACAGTCTGGTTTAGCACACTTGTAAGCATTAATATATAGATCAGATAGATTTAGTTGTGAGCAGCCACTACATTGACAGCTAAATGAGTAGTTGTCTCTCAATATCTTCTGGCGGTCTTTGTGGTCCCACTGCCCGATCTGCAAAGCAGCACATTTGGCAACATGTCATTAAACTAGAATATCGGGGCACTTTGTGATGTCTTTTTCTAGAAGTTTTGAGCCACTCAACTACTTGAGAAATAATTAAACTGAGAAGTCTATTTCCTAGTCATCAATTGCGTATGAGGTGGGGGTATTACTGCATTACTCAGTATTAGCCTATTGGGTAATTGAGCTAAAACAAAAATAATACCTATAGGTATGCTTACTTCTAAAACTGTAGAAAAATGTAACATATACTTGTTATTTTAATTACTTGTACATCCGGGACTGTATAGATAAGAATTAGAGTAGATAGAACTCTCTAATTTGTAGATAAGCTCACAGAATAGATAGAATAGATAGATCCTATTTTTTAGGATCTGTAACAACTTGACTTTATCTGTAACTTGTATATATATCATTGCCGGATGGCTCAATAATATACAAGGAAGTTTTATTCCTAAAACTTACATGGTATCAGAGAAGGTTGTTTAAAACACCACAATGGTGGAAACCGAGCAATCTGACTCTTCTTCCCACTCACAAACCCATAACCCTAACTCTCCAAATAGCTCAATGACAAACTACCAGAACTCAGTCCATTCATCAATGCTCATTACTGGCCATAGATTGAATGGCACAAATTATCTCGAGTGGTCACAGTCTGTCAAGCTGGCTATTGATGGAAGGGGCAAGCTAGGGTACATAACTGATGAAATAGAGGAGAAACAAACTGGTGATGATGGCTACAGTGTCTGGAGGTCAGAAAATTCCTTGGTGACAGCATGGCTTCTAAGTTCAATGGATGCATCAATTGCCAAACCTCACATGTTCATGAAAACTGCAAAGGAGGTATGGAATTCCATTAAGGAAACTTACTCAGATCTTGAGAACTCTTCTCAGATTTTTGAATTAAAAACAAAGTTGTGGCAGTCCAAACAAAGCAATAGAGATGTCATCTCTTACTACAATGAGATGGTATCCCTATGGCAAGAGTTGGATCAGTGCCATGATGATGAGAAGTGTGAGAGTGCCAAGGATCTAGCAAGACACACAAAAAGGGAGGAAAATGATAGGGTCTACATGTTCCTAGCAGGAATTAATAGGGATCTAGATGAAGTTAAGGGGAGGATACTTGGAAAAAAACCTCTACCCTCTATCAGGGAGGTATTTTCTGAAATCAGGATGGAGGATAGCAGGAAGAAGGTTATGTACAGCATTCCAGTACATAATGAGGAATCTGGGGACTCTTCAGCAATGGTGGCTAGGAGTGATGACAAGAAAAAACCCTGGTGTGATCATTGCAAGAAATTATGGCACACTAGGGAGACTTGTTGGAAAATTCATGGCAAACCACCAGGGGCAGGAAAGAAAAAAACTGAGAAAGCCCTACAAACAACTGTGACTGAGACTCAACAAGAACCACAAGTCAAGTTCAATCAGCTTTCATTCACTCAGGAGCAGATAGGGCAACTTCTTAACTTCCTTAATTCCCAGAAAACCCAAAATTCCCAGAAAGAATCCAAACCGGAATCTTCCTCTTGTTCTTATGCCCAATATGGTACCTATTCATCATTTTTTTGTTCTGGGAAATCTAAAAATACCTGGATTATTGACTCAGGGGCTACTGATCACATGACTTCTATTTCAAATCTTTTTTCTTCATATAAACCTAGTGCATGAGATAAAAAGGTTAAGGTTACAGATGGTTCTCTATCAACCATTGCAGGGATGGGAAATATTAGTATTTCCTCATCACTGAATCTATCCAAAGTCCTTCATGTCCCTAATCTATCCTGCAATCTTACTTCAGTTAGTAAAATAACTAAAGATCTACAATGTTGTGTCATTTTTTATCCTTCTTATTGCATTTTTCAGGACCTAGCATCGGGGAAGATGATTGGCAGTGCTAAGGAGGAGGATGGACTCTATATCTTTGATGGAGAAACTCAATCTAATAAAAGAGGTCTAAGAAATGTTTGTTTGCGAACTGTTTCTTTTTCAAATAATAAAGAGTTGTATTTACTTCATTATAGACTAGGACATCCTAGTTTCTATTATTTAAAAAAGATGTTTCCTCAATTATTTCTGAATAAAGATGCTTCTTTGTTTAATTGTGATATGTGTGCACTTGCAAAACATCACAGAAACACTTATTTACCCCACAGTTATAAACCTACTAGCCCTTTTACCTTGGTACATAGTGACATTTGGGGTCCATCTAGAATACCAACTTTAAAGGGAAAGAGATGGTTTGTAACTATTATTGACGATCATACTCGTGTCACATGGGTATTTTTAATCAAAGAAAAATCTGAAGTTGAGAAAATATTTAGAACATTTTATGCTATGGTCCAAACTCAATTCAATACCAAAATTAAAATGGTAAGAAGTGATAATGGCCGTGAATATTTTTCTCAAACTTTAAACAACTTTTTTACTGAAAAAGGCATTATTCATCAAAGCTCTTGTGTCAATACACCAGCTCAAAATGGAATTGCAGAAAGGAAAAATAGACATTTGCTTGAAGTCACTCGTGCAATCATGTTTTCAACAAACATACCAAAATATTTGTGGGGAGAAGCAGTGTTACATGCAACTTATTTAATTAATCGCATGTCATCCAAAACTTTAGGATTTAAAAGTCCTATTAGTTCACTACAACACTTCTTTCCTACAAATAGATTGGTAAACACCCTTCCTTTAAAATATTTTGGTTGCACAGTGTTTATCAAAAATCCAGATAGATCTGCAAGTAAGTTTGATCCTAGAGGAAAAAAATGTGTTTTTCTAGGTGTTTCTGCCACTCAAAAAGGGTATAAATGTTTTGATCCTACAACCAAAACAATGGTTGTTACTATGGATATTATTTTTATGGAAGAACAACCTTTTTTTGATTCTCATCTTCAGGGGGAGAAATTAAGTGAAGATGTTCCAATAATGCCAAATATTCATGAAAATTTTAATTTTCTTGATATTAATCAGGATGATAATTTCTTTAGAAATATCAGTACACCTGAAAATGATCAAGGAATAAAAAATAATGAAGTAAATCCAACTGAACCAATTGAAAAGGATCAACAGACAAGTCAGTTCTTTGAAAAAACTTATGAGAGAAGGGTTAGAAATCAAAGAATAGAAGAAGTCCCAGAACCTACAACTGTCCATGATTCTGCCTCAATGTCAGGAAGTGAAAAAGGTAATACTTCTAGCAACATTGACCTTCCTATTGCTCTCAGAAAAGAGAGAAGAACATGTGTTAAATACCCCATCTCAAACTATGTTTCTTATTCTAAATTGACATCAGACTTTGCAGCCTTTACCTCCAATATCTCTTCTATTTCTATTCCTACAACCATACAGGATGCTCTATCTAAACCTGAGTGGAAGAAAGCTGTTTTGGAGGAGATGGAGGCTTTTGAAAAGAATCAGACATGGAAGCTTGTAGAGTTACCTAAAAATAAACCTACAGTTGGTTGCAGGTGGATTTTCACCCCCAAGTTTAAGGCAGATGGAAGTTTGGAGAGGTATAAGGCAAGACTAGTTGCCAAGGGGTACACACAGACCTGTGGAATTGATTACAAAGAAACCTTTGCACCAGTTGCAAAGTTGAACACTGTAAGAATTCTTTTATCTCTTGCTGCCAATTTAGACTGGCCATTACAACAACTGGATGTAAAGAATGCTTTTTTAAATGGGAAACTTGAAGAAGAAGTGTACATGGAACCTCCTCCTGGGTTTGAAAATAAGTTTGGGTTAAAAGTTTGCAGATTAGAGAAGGCTTTATATGGACTTAAACAGTCTCCAAGAGCCTGGTTTGACAGATTCACAAAGTTCATAAAGAAGCAATGATTTAATCAAGCTCAAGCTGACCATACTTTATTCATGAAGTTTTCAGGTAAGGGGGAGATTGCAATCTTAATTGTCTATGTAGATGATATTATCCTCACAGGAAATTATCACACAGCGACTAAAAGATTGAAAGACAAACTTGCTCATGAATTTGAGATTAAAGACCTAGGAAATTTAAAATTTTTCCTAGGAATGGAGATAGCTAGATCAAAGAAGGGTATTGTTGTCTCACAAAGGAAATATGTTTTAGATCTTCTACAGGAAACTGGAATGAGTGCCTGCAAACCAGCAGACACTCCAATTGACCCAAGTCAGAAATTGGGAGATATCAAGGAGGGAAATCCAGTTGATATTCACCAATATCAAAGATTGGTAGGAAAATTAATATATCTGGCACACACAAGACCAGATATTGCATTTGCAGTAAGCATGGTAAGTCAGTTTATGCATCATCCTTTCCAAGAACATCTTGATGCTACTTACAGGATTCTGAGATACCCGAAGAGCTGTCCAGGGAAAGGATTGTTTTTCAAAAAGGGAAACAATAGGAAAATTGAAGCTTTTACTGATGCAGATTATGCTGGCTCAATATCTGATAGGAGATCTACTTCTGGATACTACACCTATGTATGGGGAAATCTAGTAACCTGGAGAAGTAAGAAACAAAATGTGGTTGCTAGAAGTAGTGCAGAATCAGAATTCAGAGCTATGGCTAATGGAATATGTGAGTTAATCTGGATCAAACGAGTAATCACAGAACTAAAGATGGAGATTGAGCTGCCTATGAAGTTATATTGTGATAATAAAGCTGTTATAAGCATTGCTCATAACCCTGTGCTACATGATAGAACTAAGCATATTGAAGTGGACAGACATTTCATTAAGGAGAAGATTGAAGCTGGAATCATTTGCACACCATTTGTATCCACTAAAGATCAAACAGCTGATATCTTCACCAAAGGGTTATTTAGACCTATATTTGAGCTACTTATAAGCAAGTTGGGAATGTATGATATATACTTACCAACTTGAGGGGAAGTGTAGAAAAATGTAACATATACTTGTTATTTTAATTACTTGTACATCCGGGACTGTATAGATAAGAATTAGAGTAGATAGAACTCTCTAATTTGTAGATAAGCTCACAGAATAGATAGAATAGATAGATCCTATTTTTTAGGATCTGTAACAACTTGACTTTATCTGTAACTTGTATATATATCATTGCCGGATGGCTCAATAATATACAAGGAAGTTTTATTCCTAAAACTTACAAAAACATTTGTAGATGGGTAACTGATGGTAATTTTGAGCAACCTCAAATATTTAGCATCCGTTATTTTGGAATGGTAAATCATTTCATACTGAGATCTTGGGCTATATTTGGAACACGGAAATGGCAAGTAAATGAAAAACTGCTACGAAATCATTCTGAAAAAAGCTACCATTTTTAAGTTCCAGACTGCTCTGAGAAGCCAATTAAATATTTCCCATCAAATACTTCAAGTGCCAAACACATGAAAATCATTCTACAAAAATGTTTTCAAGTGCCAAACAAAGGAAAACCAGAAAACATTTTCTGGTAAAATATTTTTGGAAGAGACTTAAAAAGAAGTCAAAAGTCAACATTACCTACAAAAAAAATGTACCTGTGGTCCATAAGAGATTTCAAGTTCAGACCCCACTGACACAGAATCTGTGATTCGTACATGGAGGGTGCGTAAAAGAAAGTAAGCATGACTGTTTGGCCTACACGAATGGTTAAACATACTACCCGCCAAATATATAGCTTGACCAACCTTGACCTGCATAACAAATAAAAACAAGATAGCAATGCAATATGTAATATACTGTTCTAGTGAATCCTTAAAAAGGTGGGTTTTGTAACAGTGTAATTACATGATGCTAGGTTTTTGGAGATTGCTTGATAAGGCTCCATTTGGAGCTAGGAAAATGCTAGAGAAAGCAATAGAGAGGAAAATATAAGGAAACTATGGAAGGTAAGAAAATGTGCGGGGGGGGGGGGGGGGGGGGGGGGATAAAGCATTACCATACTCAATAAATTTAATTCCATATTTGCGGGAACTCAATTTATTTACAACATCTATGAAAGTTTAATCTATGTAAAGAAATTGAAAAGCATTAATCATATGTTTTTTTTGGTAAACCGAACACAAGAAAATAACTTTCGATAGCAGTTACTTTCCTTTACCGAGCAGCATTTTTGGTATCCAAGCAAACCCTAAGAGATACAATAAAGATTTGAAGCCAAGACAAGCTTGACATTAACCTGTTCTAATGTACTGGTAAAATCATTCCCATGCTCATCTGAAGGCCCTCTCATATCAAAAGATTTCATCCTGACAATAGCCATTGCATTCACTCTGATTTGTGATAGAAGTATAACTACCTGCAAGAAGTTTATGAAATATGTACCATAGTTTTCATTTCAAAGTATCAGGGACACTTTTGGAATTTTGTTAGATTGTTTTCTATGATACTACCTGTGAAATGATAGCCCCTGTCACGGGGAGTTTTGGTGCATAAAATTTTTGAAGACAATTCAACAGCATGATTGAGTATATATGCATCTCCAGTTTAGTATCAGGAGGGAGGTGCGCATAGTTGTGGCAGAGATCCTACACAAGTTACATAATTAGTTTACCTGTTGGTTCACACTTCACACTATTGTATTTATGTCTTCCATATTCCGACTACCTATTTGTTATGTGTATTTTTGAAGACTAAACAAAACATCGAAAATCCATTTCCTTTTCATATTTGTCCTTCCCTTACAGTTTTCCGTTTCTAAACACGGCCTTTAAAAATTAAGCAAACGAACGTGTACAAGTACCAAAACTGCTTGGAGGTTTGAAACACAACCAGAATTCTTTTGTTGCTCGATAAATTTCACAATGACCCGACCAGCCAAAACTACATCTGAGGGTAATATTGAAGGCCAATGAGCGCCTTCACATTCATGTCTGTGCTCAGGAATATGCTCAGTACATTGATCTGAATTATCAACTGAAATGCATTCAGAAATATATTTTTCAAGTTCATTCGGTAGGTCTTTATGAAAGCCACCTTTCCTGGGAATTTTACCAAACACTTTTCCTCCAGATACTAATTGGCATTGACTAGAGCAATATAATGGTATAGAGCATGATTCACATGGAACTGCATGTACTGGTAGTTCATTGAAGCAGAAATGACAGTTAGTCTCCCGGCAGGTCTTCAAGATAATCTGCATTAATGGTTGTAGAATGATTAAGAATGAATGTGAACCTAAAACGTGATATATAATGTTGACAATGAAGCACTGCATATAAACTAAGGATGTTTTTACTTGGACTGTAATTCCTCCCAGACCAGACCAGACCATATCAGACCAGACCAGCAAATTACAGTCCAAGTAAAAACATCCTAAGGCTCCATTTGATTCTAGAAAATTAACTTGTTGTCAAAAAATGTTTTCCTATAAATAAGGCATCCATTTGGAACTCAGATATTATTAGGGGAAGGAAGACACAGAGAAAAATTGGAAGGAAAGAAAATGTGGGTGAAAATAAAAGACCAGCTAAAGCTTTTATTTATTTATAACTATAGTGTAAACATTGAGTACTCTAAAAATGTGTACTGGTGTAATTTTGAAAGAACTGATCATATTTAATTTTGTTTTGCATTTTCCAAGGTAAAAGGGAATATAAGGATATAATATTCCTAAGCATTTTGTTTCCTTTCCCTAGCACTTTAAAGGATCAGGACACCCCAAGCTGTTATATATATAATATTATGTTCAACCCACAGAAATGTCAATCATAGAGCTGTTTCAAAAGAACAACTTCCCATTTTCAAAACGGGAAGTCACTTTCCATAAACAAACGTTTCCATAAGCAAATGGAGCTTATAGGACAGCACAAATAAAAGGATCTTCACTAATACCGCTGCATAAGGATCTTCTTTATGAACCAAAGAGCCCAAATGAATATCAGCACAAGATACTATTCCTCTTCCTTTTGTGGATAGAGACACACATTGAACATTTCCTTGGACTGGCTCATCTGTCACATAAGTTCTACAATTATAAGACACCAAATAAGAGAGGCATGTCACAAATTATAGAAATAGAAATATGCCCAACCAAAGAATGCGCAAATCAGAAAGACGAAAAAAATGTTTTCAGGAGTTCTAATAGTGCTACATAAACCATAGTAAAAGTAATATAAGAAGTACCTAGCATCAGACCCATTCTTGTTGGACTCATATAATGAACTATGCATCAGTTTTTGTCTGTCCAAAATAATTCCGAGTTCGCCTTCTATTTGCCTCTTTCCACTCAACGAAGCTTCCATCTTTAGGGAAACCTTAAGATCTTGAATTGATTCTTCATAGTTTCCCAGAGAAGTATTTGCTTTACATCTCCTGAACCATGCCTGCAGATATCATGTCGCAATAACCGCATATATTGAAAATGAAGTTAACTATTAAGATCCTGCAAAATAGAAGTTCAAAATATAACAGAACTGACTATAAAAACAGAAAGACAAGATCAAAAATGAAATAGTTGCAGTTGAACATTATTCAGATTTCCTAACCTAGCTTGTTGCCTGGGTTTTTGGGCATAGCCAGGGGACAAGAAAATCCAATTTGGCGCAGGGAAGAAAAATCGTTTAACTATATAAATTTGTATTGTACAAATTTTACACAAGTTTTTGTGTGTAGAGCTTGGGGTGGGCCTTAGCCTGGGTGGGCTGACCCCTAGCGAGATACTCAACAAAATACTATATGAGCTTTATGTTAGAGAAAGAAGTGCTTCCCAAGAAGAAATAGTTAGATCTGTCTAGAGTACTATCAAATTAACTCAATAAAGTCCAACGAAGGCCAAGTTTGGTAGAATTATTCGCTTATTCTGTCTGACAATAACTTGAGTAGAAAAAGAAGCCTTTAGTTTACTTATTTGGCTTAAATCGATTTTATCATTTTACCGAAGGCTTGTCTTGCGACACTAAGGTAATGATGATGATGATTATGATGACCGAAGGCTTGTCTTAAAAAATCGTGCATTCAGCCATTTCAGCCAAATATCCATTACCTAATGGGTCCTAACTTTTAATTATTAAAAAGATCAAAGAACAAGAGAAGATGAAGATTATTACTTTTCTCCTGAAAGTTACAAATACAGAACATAAGTGATTATTTGATAACAAAATAAAAATTAAATTACAATCCAAACCAAGAAAAATAAGACAGGAATCACAGGATAAAAGTGAAAGTCTACCCACCTTAGCATAAGTTGGAGAAATTGCAAGAGCTCGGCCACAGTCATCTAAACACTCTAGAAAAAGACCCATATTCTAGGAAGCAAGTCATGTTAGTAAAGTTTGGAAAGAAATGATTGACTATTGGAATTAGGATTTTGAGGTAGATGTGTGTGTGTGTGAGTAAGCTATTGTTTTACAGACAGCTATTCATGAAGTGAATTTAGCTGTAGAAACATGTTGCGTAAAAAAACAATCCAGTTAGGAGTTTTCCCCACAATTATTTCAGTCAACCATATGTGAAGCCAGTGGGGATAAACTAAATTATGGACTCACATGCAATGCAGATGCACGATTCACATAGAGCACCGCCACTAGGTTTTTCTCCATACCATCGCTATTCGAAGGAGCAAATCGCAATGCCTGATAAACTCATAAAATAAAAATAAAAATAAGCCTTATTTGGATATATGGAAGTGATAATCAAATAACACAGATTATGAAAATAACTAGAAGGTAACACTCTTGGGTGCAAATCAAAGCTGCACTGAAAGAGAAACTGAGCAAATTCTACAAGGTTTTGACGATTAAGACTTGGGTTTCAGATCAACAGATAGGATAGGACTTAATATTGATAATTTGATATAACCACTAGCTAAATTAATAATTCCAAACCCCAACATCAGATGATGAAACATTCAAATACTCATCTGTCAAAGTCCTCACCTGTGTAAAATGAAGGTTAGTTCAAAGCTTTAAGTGTTTATAAGCGTTTTGTATTTTTATGTATTTGCTTGATAGGATTACTTAATATGATATCAACCACTAGTGATATTCATAATTTCAAACCTCAACATCAGAAAAAGAAACATTCATTACTCATATGTCATCAGTCCTTACCTGTGTATAGAAATGAAGGGCTTTATGGTAATCTCCTTTGGAGAAAGATTCATTGCCGCGAAGCTTTAATTCAGAAGCAGCATTGGAATCCTTGCGGCACAAAGCATTTTTTGGGTCTGTCAACTCCTTAACAATCTTGAAAGAAGAGCTAAATTAGCCGAGTGTAGAGAGGCAGCCATTAATCAACGGGTGATTGGGATATCATGTTTTGTTTAGACTAAACAAAATTTGAGGTTTTGGTTACCTGGTGGAATTGGGGAAGGTGACTGAAGGAGTGGAGGAGGGAAGAACAAGTGGCGGGAAGGTCAGCAGGACCGCTCTTTGTAATTTGCTGCCGGAGGGCGCTTGGTACTACGGATTTCAGCTTCTCCATCTTCTTTACGGCTATGAACTTCTATGAAATTCAGGGCCCGTATACTAACCGAAAACTAGAAAAAGAAAACAGAAAACATGAAATCGGTGGAAAACTGGAGAAAATTGGAAAATTAAAGAAAACAAAGAGAAAAAAACGTGTTTACCAAAAGAAAACTCGAGAAAGCAATTTAACAAAGAAAATTGCTGGAAAAATAGAGAAAACCGGAAAACTAGAAAACAGAAAACAGGAAACGTGTTTATCAAATAAAATTTCTGGAAAACTCGAGAAAGAAAAACAGAAAAACGCGTTTATCAAACCATTTTTCAAATCGAAAAAATGATACATGTTTCTTTTTTCCTTAATGATTTGGAGAAGTGACTTTTACTAGTTTTCTAAATTTGGAAAACACAGATACTACAGGCCACTGTAATGAATTTGCATACTTACACCTAGTGGTGGGTCCGGTCCCGCTCCGATGTCGATTCCATTCTAGTACCTCAATCCTCGCACCTTACCCCTTACCCCTACCCTATCCACCCACACCCCGCATACCCTTTTCCCCTGCAATGACCCTACCCACACCCCCTACCACATGCCCCTACCTCGGTCCCACCACGACCCACCCTACCCTACCGCCACCCCCTACAACCTCAACCCCACCCCGACCCACCTTACCCTACCCCCACCTCGTATATTACCCCTTACCCCTTCCCACATGCCCCCTACCTTGGCCCCACCCTATCGCCATCCTACCCCCACCCTTGTACCGCCATCCTACCCTACCCCTTCCCCTATCTCGGCCCCACCCTACCGCCATCTTATCCCAACTCCCTACCCTACCCCTACCTTACCCCAACCTCAAGCCTACTCACTACCCCCACCCTTACCCGTAACCACCACCCTAACCCACCCACTACCCCACCCCAACCTCGTACCTCTAGACCTTACCACCCCACCCCGACCATACCCCTTACCCCACCCCCATCCACCCCCATCCATACCTTCCTTCCCTACCCCGACCCCTACGAGTATGTATGAGTGGGTATGAACGATTCTATGGGAGTATGGGTAGAGTGTAAGATCGTGGTAAGGGTAGGGGTAGGGGTCAAGGGTGTGGAATTGGGTGTAAGGTGTAGGGTGGGGTACGAGGTATAGGGGCAGGATAGGGGTTAGGAGTATGGGTACACGTACGAGGTGATCGACCCCACATATTATATTATATACTAGTATTTGTGTTCATGAATGTTTGTGTGTCTATATACGTATAGGGTTATTTTGGACATTTTAATGTTAAACGACGTTTTAAACCTTTTGAAGTGAACATGATCTTATAACATTGCTTATTTTATGCGTCGCTTATTAACGCGAGTCTTAATAAGCACCGATTAGTAACCCGTGAAGTAAACGTGTCAGTCTTCTGGATGATCACAAAAGTGGGTGAAAAAATTGATGAACATGTTTTCAGATTTGAAAATGAAAAACTAGAAAATAGTAACAGAAAACTCGAGATAGAAAAAACTGAAAAATAAAAACAGAAAATTGGAGAACGAAAAATAGAAGTAGAAAACAGAAAAATATATCTGTTAGTAAACAGGCCCTCACTTTCCATCATTTGCAATGGAGCCAAAGATTCATTATTTTTGGCTTGAGATTATGATGGAATAAAGCAAAATGGCTCACTAAACTGTCTGCGCTTCTTTGTTATGAAGCAACAGTCAGTCCATGCAATTTTGGATGGGATTTTCACTATGGGTCATCCGGAAACAGTCTTTCTGTGCTTTAGTACAGGGGTAAGACTGCGTAAATCCGATCCCCCCTTACCCCACCGTAGATGAGAGTCTTTACGGCACTGGGGTAAATGAAAATGAAACAAGCCCTCAACGTTACTGCCTCGACTCTCAAAAGTGTTTCAAGAACTACAAAATAAACTGAACTTTGGTCATTTATGAACTGTGCAAACACAAGACATTTAAGGTGACCACATCAAACCAAACTTAAAAAAATGAGACTGAGACTAGCAAATTTCAAAACAAGTAAAAACATCAATAAAAGTCTAGTTTGGTCTGATCTATTCTTTTTAAATCTTGTCTGGTATGGTCTGTTTAAGTGTGATCTGATTTGGTCTGATTTGTTTACGTCTAGTATGAGACTCAAAAGTCAAAATAGTCTAACTCAAAACATCCTTACAAAATACACAGAGACCAGACATTTATCCAACGAGATCAGTTCAAACCAAATCAAACTTAAACATATTAGATCAACATATTTCTCTCCAAGTAAAAACATCCTTATTATACACTTTTTTTTGGAAGAAGGAACTTATATTGATACAACAGATTTTTGATAAGGAACATAAAATAAAAACTTCACTCTCAACCCGACAACCCTCGAACTAGTCTTAGAGTGAATCATCTTTTAGACAATAACATGCCTCTATGATCCTGCAATGGATATAAATAAGCCAAAGACGGTCAAAACAAACCTCTCATCACCCAATCCAAACTAAAGAGTCTGACACAACGAAAAATAACAGGCAATAACAAGTCTGGCCAAAGCAAAAAATAAAAGCAAAAAATAAATTATTGTATTTAGCTGCTTCCCCAAAACCACGAAAAGTTCCAGCCGTCTCGCCTTGTCATACTGCTTTCTCAGAAACCTCGGTGGGTCTGGTATCCAGCACCCCCCGCCCTCCGTTTTTTGGCTCATCCAAAGCAATTCCATAATTGCCACTGTGAAAAAATGTGTTGAAAATTGCATTAGATGGTCAATTTGGGGCAATATTTTGAGTGGGGTCCACTTCTAATTTGGGTCGGGTCAAAGTGGTTTCGCATTTTCCTTGTTAAGGGCTACAATTCGATATGTGGTACACTCAAAAAGGATAACGGGTGAATGAGAAATTGATTTCTCGAAGTTCACTCGTTGAAATGGAAAAATTGAGAAAATGATGAGTTTCTAGTGGGATTTATCCCACACCGGAAAACCCAAGGGATTTTCACCCTTTTATAAAGGGAACCCTCTTTGAAGGAGTTAGGATTTTTACGTAAAAATGCTCTCTTCACATGCAAGGGGGGTGTCGATAAAATCTCAAAAACGAAGAAGAAAAACCGTGACTTGCATGCGCGGGCGACCATCGGACACGAATGTAGTCCAAAAATCTATCTTTCAAAGATATGGTCTAATTTTTGTTTCTTCCCGTAACATGTTATTTTTTCCCAGAACCGCTTCTGTTCTGTTCAGCGCACCAGAAGTGCTCGAGCTATTCTGGTCGTCCCGGAATCAGAAAGGTTTGCGCTGTTCTGGTCGCGCACCAGAATGGTTCTGGACCGTTACAACAATAAATGTCCAACGTTCTTATGCCATTATGTAGCGTTAAATGGACGATTCAATGTTCAATGGACTGGTCATTGATGTCCAACGTTCAGGTCCATTAAATCTCCATTAACACACAACAAACCCTCCTATAAATAGTTGGCAGATGCTTTACAACAAACAACAATCATACACAATTTGCACGTAATTTTTGAGCTCTAAAACACCTCCAGCTTTCTCAGGAAATTTCTGAGTGTTCATAATTTGTTCCCGTTCGCCGGAACTTTCGTTTGTGTGCTCAAGCGATCGTTCGTTAGCCACCGTATCATGAGAAACGGTCGTGGCAACGCTCCTAGCACTGTGGGAGGCGACGAATACATTTTAAGAACATTGTGCGTAGCACGAGCTCTGACTAATTTATGTCCCATCTATTTTCTGTTTTTCTTTGGCTATTTTTTTAACTACGTATTAATTAATTTTATTTAATGTAATTTTTTTTGTTTTTCTTAATCACACCCAACACCCACCTCTCATTCGTTGTCCGCATGTTAGTTGTCGTCTCCTTCTTCGAATACTAGTTCGTTCTCCTCTTCTCCATTATCCAAGTTATCATATTGGTTGACGATGGATTCCATACATGATCCCTCATGCTCCGCCACAGATAGAGTACGTCGATCCAGCTCACAAATTAAACACGCGCAAAAACAAAGAAAAAACGGTCAGCTCCGGTAACTAGCGGAAAAGCCAAAACTCTACTTTTGAGGGTAGAAGACCACTTTTTTTAGAGAGATAACACTGAAACAAATTCTAATATTGAACCATCCTTATTATACACTTGATAATTCAATATAATAAATGGTTTTGTTACTTTTGAAAATGGTTTTTGCATTAGTCATATTTACTGAACTAATGTTCTTGCAATAGTCCTATAATTTAATTTGTAAAGAATACGCAGTTGCATTTTCAGTTGCATGTTACCATCACCAAATAATTTGTTTGAGAAACCGATTAATAATAACTCTAAAAAACGGAAAATAGAAATTGAAAACATGAAATAATTAAATCTTTTTAATTAAAATAAAGTGTTTACAAAATTGTTGCATCTTAAATATCGTGGTTATAATTATAACTTTAATCACGACCATTTATATTCATTTTTTACACATTAATGGCCATAACATTAAATTTACTCCGTTTTTTATTAGTCGTCTTATATTCCTTTTTGGGATGTTTTTTACTACTCGCTCTGTATTTGAAAATTTATTACAATGTGTTTGACCACATTATTTAAAGGTGAAGCAACAATAGTAGATGATGAATATAGAGAAAGTAGGAAAGATGGTGGAAGAGTATGAATGCATAGATAAAAAGTACATAGTAGAAGGGTAAAGGCAGTAGATTATTCTTATTAAATATAACAGAAATACATTCATAACACACTAAAAGGAAAAATATAACAAACTTTTAAATACATATAAAAATGAAAATGTAGTTAACTTTAAAATACGGAGAAAGTATTGAAATACATTCATATAGTTACTTGTATTATTCTTATTTTTTTTACAAACTACTTTCTCTTAATACTTTTTCATTAGTTTAAGATGTTTTTACTCTGCTTGTATATTCAATCTTGGATAAGACCAGACTTAAACAAACAGATCAGACTTAAGCAGATCAGATAAGACTTTTTCATAGTTTTAAAATGCACAAAGAACATACATTACCTAGACCAGACCAGTTTTTAGACCAGATCAGACCATAATAGACCTAAGCAAATCAAATAAGATGGACAAATTTCAATCTAAGTAAAAACAATTTTCCCTATATATTTTCTTTTCTAACTTTTCATTTATCCTACATCTAATATAACAAAAATTCTAAAAGTACACACTTTTTTATGTACACACTTTTTACACATGTCTGTGTAAGATTTTTTTTGTCTACAAAAAAAAATCTTACACAAACGTGTAAAAAAAAGTGTGTACGACGAAATATATAATACGTTTGATCGGAGGGGGAGAGATATGTGACGGTCACGGACTTGTAATGGCCGTGAACGACCGCCTAAAGTCCTAACCCTTTCCCATATCTATCGAATTCATCTCTCCTCCGTCTGATTTCAACCATAGGCTGTCTGTGATCGGTGAGTTTCACCGCACCCTTCTCGTACTTCTCTATCTCATAAACAAACGATAATGTTCACAATGTACGGAGTAATAATACTTTAAGCATTCTTACCTTACTTCTTTCCTGTTCTTTCTCACATTACTTCAGGGGACACCAACCAGTTAGTTTTATGAAGTTTGGTTCTTGATTCTTCCTTTTGTTATCTCGTTATAAGTACATGCTTTTTTCTTTCACGAGTCTCTCCAATTAACTGATTATATCTCACGTTTGTATTTTGTTCGTTGTGTAATTAGGGTTTGTACTAAAGTCTTTCTTTTTGCTTATCATGAGGTTTGGTTGTGGTTTATTGGTCAGGGTAAACCCGTAGGTTGTGGCTCTAATTCCATCTAGGTTCTCGTCAGTTCTAAATGGCTTCACAAATAGTCCGAGAATGGGCTGGAATTCAGCAGTTCCCTGCTGCCACTCAGTCCAAGTTACATGATTTGCTGGGAAAATTGAAGCAGGAGGTACTTCTCCCTTTTAGCTGATTTCTAATTAGACTGAAATATGTTTTTTGAGTCCTTGCAAATGTAGAGTGTTTCTTTTTTCATTTTAAGTGCCTCACAGGTTCAGTTTGTCCTTTCACTGTATTTTTTTTGATAGGAATCGACCTTTTAGACTAATAATAGAAAGATTAATAATAATCATATTAGTAGGCTGTTAGACTTTGGTCTTGGGACGGGGAAGATTGAGACCTATCATCTCCCTCTTTGGGGCTTCAGCAGGGAACATTTCACCAAGCTTTGTGAAGTTTTTTCTTGAATTCTTGTTCTTCTTTTTCTGTAAATTTCTGAGTATCTTGAATAGTTCTATCAGTGGTATCAGAGAACGCCACTTCCTGGAGGAGAATTCTATATGAGGAGAATTCTATATGACACCGCCAATGGAAGAGGGATTTGACAATCTGAATCGACAGATGAAGGAGACGAACGCTAGGTTGGAAAGAATTTTACGTGACTGTGAGCGTCTAAATCAGCGCTTGCACCGATCGAGGAACACCAGGCATCATCGGCGATCTGACAAACAGAGTTTGTCGCAGTCGCTCACTAGTCCGCAATCAGAGTCGCGAACTGCTTCTCTTAGTTCGCAATCGCGAAAGGCATCAATTGATTTTGTACATAGAGCCCAAGAGGCATCAATTGATAATCAGCTTCGCTTATCCCTAACCCCCTATAATTGTCACCTATGGGTTACAGAAAGCTGGCTAGGAATGTTCAGATTTTTTTAGTCATGTCGGTTGTTTTTCTATAACAGAAGTTGACAAATTGTTAAAAAGAAAATAACAAAAATAATAATTTTAACAGAGATGGAGTGACCTAAAACAAAAAATATTATATTTTCTTGGGTGAAAAGCATTTACATGCCTTGTTATAATGCATCATTTATGGTCTCCTTCCCTCTAATCATCTAATGGCACGTTGAATTACATTGCTATGTGATATCTTTTTTTTATATTGGTAGAATGTGAGCTCTTTGACTATCTTGGTGATGGGTAAAGGTGGTGTTGGAAAATCTTCAACCGTGAATTCAATCATAGGGGAAAGAGTAGTTACTGCAGGAGCTTTCCAGGTATTTACTTATCATTCTCTTAAAAAAAAATAAACTGAGAGTTTTTATATGCCCCTGTTTGCCAGTAATGATAGAAACATTATAATTTTCAGACGGAAGCTCCAAGACCTGTAATGGTATCACGTTCACGAGCGGGATTTACATTAAACATTATTGATACCCCTGGGCTCGTTGAAGCAGGATATGTTAATGATCAGGCTCTTGATATCATAAAGAGGTTAACTTTACATCACTTGTGACAAATTCTAGAGCCCGTTTGGTAATGCCTAGAATGGCTACAACTGGGGAAGTTGTGGTTTGGAAGGCTCAATCATCTATAAAAACATGAACAGTACTTTTTATAATTAACTCAAAAAATAATATGAGTATAGGAGTATCTAAAATGATGGTTGAAGTTTCATATTCATTAATTTCAGCAAAACAATTAACATATGTGCTACTCTTTTCATTATTATTCCATTAAGTCAATATAGTGAAATAATTAGTGAAGGTCTGGCACATAACACCCATGAGGATGATAAGCCAAAAATTGGCTACCAGACGGGCACCTATTGTCTGGATTTAAGCAATAGGGGTTCTCTGCATTATTTTGGTCTTCTTTTGAGAAGATTTTGTTCTTGTGTTCATTCAATGCAATCTTCTGATTGAATCTAAATAGGTTCCTTTTGAACAAGACAATCGACGTTTTGCTCTATGTGGACCGCCTGGATTCATACAGAGTGGATAACTTGGATTCACAGATAGTAAAAGCCATAAGTAATGCTTTTGGCAAGCAAATTTTTCGTAGATGTATTGTTGTGCTTACTCATGCTCAAATGTCACCACCCGACGGATTGAGTTATGAAGAGTTTGCCACCAGAAGATCCGAGGCAGTTTTGAAGGTTGTCCGCCAGGGCGCGCGAATGAAGAAATCAGAGTTTCAGGTCTATTTTCATTCTCACCAACTTTGTATTTGATGCATTTTTTGGTTAAAGTATAAGGGAGCGTGGGATAAAAGTCACTGCGAATAAGTTTGTGAAATATTATTTTAGAAGTGTCCAATATTTCTTCCAAGAGTTTTGTCTATCCAGGAACTAAATAGTGTTCAACTATTGATCAAGGATATGGAAGATTAAAATTATAAATGTAGCCATAGGACCCAGATGCTTGAAATTTGAAGCTATCAAATATCAATTTAGGGCTCAAATAATTTAAGATATCAACCCATGACAAAAAAAAAGAGGAAAATAATTCAAATATCCCAAACTTTGAAGGGATGTGAGGTAAACACTCCAAACTTATATATAATATAAATATCCAATCTTTATATAAAAAATTATGATAGCACCATGATTATATGATTTTTCATTCACAAATGTAAATTTATGATGTCAAATAAATAATTTAAATACATTTATCATTTATGAGAGTGCAGTTAACATTCATTCAAATATTTTAAATTGTGTACTTAACAACATAAATTTACATTTGTGAAAGATAAAATATATGATCATGGTGCTAAGATAACTTTTTATATAAAGTTTAGGGTAAATATATTACACTTACAAGTTTAGGGTACTTACCTCACACCCCTTCAAAGTTTGGGGTATTTAAATTATTTTCCCCAAAAAAACTAGAGTTTTGAATCTTTTTAATTTTAAATTATTTTAATGTTAAATTGCTACGAAATTTCTTCACTAATAGTTTAATTTAAGATTATTCTAGAAGTATTTTGATAATAAAGAACATTGAAATTTGCTGGGCGGATTGCCTCGTGGTTAGATGATTATTTTCTTAACTGCTCTTTATCACTGGTCTCTTTTACCCGTAATTTGCTGTCTTGCTCTCAGAGAACTCCAATTCCCCTGGTTTTGGTTGAGAACAGCGGAAGATGCAAGAAGAATGAAAGTGATGAGAAGGTTTTCATGGTTTAATTAGATAATTTTTTACTCTCTTTAAAAAATATCTTGTTTTCTAACCATGGTTTATACACAGGTTCTGCCAAATGGAATTCCATGGATACCTGATCTTGTTAAGACAATCACAGATATTGTATCACGTGGGAGAGAGGGTATTTTGGTTGACCAGCAGTTGATTGATGGACCAAACCCTAACGAAAGAGGGAAATGGTTCATTCCTCTCATAATAGCTTTCCAAGTAAGGTTTTGATCGGAGGTTATTGTTTTATTCTCATCACCTTCACATTTCCAGGAAAATGCGTTAATAAAAAACTCTTATCTTCCTTGCCTTCTCTCGCAGTTCTTTGTTGTGAAACGGATTGAGAAGGGAATCAGGGCTGATATCAGAAGAGGATAGGCAGAACTTTTTTGTGGTAGAACAGCTGGAAAGTTTCATGAGGTTCTTGAGTTTTGATTTTCTTCAAAGAGCATTCTGTTCTATTTCAACACTTCCCGGGATTGCCTGCATTTTCTTAATGTTTAAGTTTCTCTCTGGTTTTGTTCCAGTAATTATGTATACAGCTAGCCCTGTTGGTTATCTTGGTTCTTAAGTTGTGGAAATGCTCTACATTTAAGAAAATAAAAATGTGTTCGAGTTGTTGAGATTTATTTGAAAAGGAACCCGTGAAAGAAAACAACGTGAATACTCAGAAATGGGTTCTAAAAGGTAAAGTGTCAATAAAAAGGGAATGTAGTTTTCTTCAAGCCATTGTAAGGTGTGCAGGAACAGTAATGCGTTCTCAAAATGTTAACTCTTAGGTCTCGGAATCGGAAATATAGGTCCTGTTCTCAAATCTCACTAATTTGTATAGGACCTGTCGGTGTAAGACCGGAGCCGGCTCGGATGAAGACTGTGTTTCACTTTCTCATAAAAAGAAATAAGAAACAAGTAAGGGTGTGTTTGAGAGTTGGGTTTTGGACGGGAGGGGAATGTTAATGGGGATTTATGGCTCTCCTTTTCATGTTTGGGAGTTCAAAAAATCGGAGGGGTGGTTTTGGAGTAGGGGTGGACTCGGGTCCGGGCCGGGTCCGGGTCGGGCCTAGGCCCGTGTGGGCCGGCTGTTCAAGAATGGTGGACTCGGGACCGGCCCGGGTAGCCACCGGGTCCGGTCCGGGTCCGGGCCGGGCCTCCGGTTTGGAATTTTTTTTTTGCTTTCCTAACCCCCCCCCCACCCCCACCCTCCCAAACCCCTCCAAACCCATCCTACCCATCAAGCCCAACCCGGGTGGAACCCCAAAAATGAAAAAAATAAAAAAAATTCAATTTGGCCCGGGCCCGGGCCTGACCCGGCCGGGCCGGGTCACCAAAATTGAGACCCGAGCCCGGACCCGCCTTACCCCCCGGGCCTAGGCCCGACTCGGACCCGGACCCGAGATCCGGGTCGGTCCCGGTCCCGCACAGTAGCGGGCCGGGCCGGTCCACGGGCCGGGTGGCCCGACCCGAGTCCAAGCCTGTTTTGGAGGGCTTTTGTAACCCCTTCAAAATCCTCCAAATGCTTGATTTTTAAGTTCCCCCAATTTGGAGGGTTTTGGATGATAATTAACAAAATGGTATTTTAAGCTAAATTAGAAATGAATATCAGTTCAATGATTTGAATTCGTCATATCTCAAAGTGATTTTAATTATAATTTCTTCAAAAACCTTCTCCTTCCAATTTTATTACTCCTAAATACAAAGAAGGGCTTCCTCAGTCTCTCCTCCCTTTCCCCTCCAACAACATACCTTCAAAGTCCTCCCCTTCCCTCCAAGCTCCCAAACATACCCTAAAAGAAATCAAGACGTGGTTGTTCAAGACGTAGTAAAAGAAATTTACTGCTGTCAAAAAATCCGTATCTTTGGACCAAAAAAACTAAATATAAAATAGTAGCGGTCAAGAGGAAAAAGAGAGAGAACAAAGAATCACGTGCGGTTGATCAATAAAATCGAGGACAGATTGAACAACTGAACATGTATCCTAGGGACCAAGAGACTAGCAATACAATCAAGCAAACTATCATAGCTCTTATGCCGATCTGGAAGGTTTACATGTGCTCTTGCAAAGTTGCAATTGCATTAGTGATTAGCCACATGATTCGTAGACCTGTTACAAAAAAGAGAGAGAAAACATACTCTTTATTTTCAACACTTCTCATGTATCATCAACTATAATATGGAGATAAGATGAGCCACCCCAGATTTTATGTTCTGCACTACCGTCATAGCATCAGACTCAAACTCCACCTTCTTCCATCCTTCCTCAATTGCTCCAGCTATTGCTTCTTTTATTCCAAAAGCCTCAGTTTCTGCCACAGACCAATTAGCCTTCACCGACCCCCCCCCCCCCCCCCCCCCCCCCCGTGCTTTTAAGAGGTTACCTTCATCATCATGAGCCACCCAGCCCCATGCTCTGAACCCTCCTGCCTCATTTACCGCACCATCAACATTTATTTTAACGGTTTCCTTTGCCGGTTTCCTCCATTTTTTCTTAACCGCCACAGTTTTATGTTCATGGCCTCCATCACCCTCTTGTGCCTCCTTCCAACTAGCAAGCATACCTGGTGCTCCATTTATAACGCTTGTAGTGTCCCGTTTCTAGTCTTTCCACACCGCATTGTTTCTTCTCTTCCAAAGACTCCACATAAACATAATTGCTATAAATTTGCTCCTCTTATAGTCTTATTCGCATCCCCCGTCGCTAAATTCCTCCTCATCCACTCTTCCACGGTTACGTCCTCTTCGAGTGATATATCTGTCGCATGCCCAACTGCTTGCGCCCCGCTACACTAGGGATGGACCCGGTCCGGTCCGGTTCCGGTTCCGGGCCGGGCCCGGGCGGGCTTTTTTTGCAAATCCATGGGCCCGGAACCGGCCCGGGTTGATACCGGGTCCGGGCCTAACCGGGCCGGGCCGGGCCCGATTCAATGTCTATTTTTTTTTTGCTTTCTTGTTATCCCCCGACCCCCTCACCCCCACCCCCAAACCTCCCCAAAACACCCAGCCCTAGCCTAGGAAAAGAAAAAAAATTGAAAAAAAAACTAGCCCGGGCCGGTTCGCCCAAAACTGGGCCCGACCCCGGCACGCCCGACCCGCCCAAACGGGCTAAAAGCCCGGAACCGGCCAACCGGTCCGGGCCCGCACAGTAGCGGGCCGGTTCGGCCCGGTCCAGTCCATCCCTACGCTACACTGCCGAAATGCATGCTCCAAAGATTCCACTGGCTCATCACAAATTTTGCACCCATTCGGTACTATGACGCCCCTCTGTCGCAATTTATCAACTGTGGGGATTGTCACATCCAACACCTACTACATAAAGTATTTAAATTTAGGAGGTACCTTAGATGTCCAGAGCTGTTTCCATACTCCATTTGTCGCCCCTGCCAGCTCCCCCAACTGCAGTTTATAGCAACTCTTTACAGAGAACACTCCATTTGTCTCCCCATTCCACCAGAAATCATCTGCACGATCCGCTGCACTAATAGGAATACTCAATATATATTTCCTATCCTCCTCATTAAAAATTGCTCTTATTCTGTCTTCATCCCACTTTTTCTTCGTAAAATCGCGTAGCGCTGCTACATTCATGCCACGGATCCCCATAGGTTTTGCCGATGTTATTCTACCCTCATCCGTTCCCGGCAGCCATGCATCAGCCCAGACTTGCACATCAATACCATTGCCCGCCCTCTTTCTCGTATTTAGTCTCAGTACACTTTGCGTCTCAAAAATACTACGCCACACAAAGGAAGGGTTATTTCCTAACTTTGCATTAAGAAAGTCAGAGTTAGGAAAATACCTTGCCTTTAGAATCTTCCCCATTAAGCTACTGGCATTTGGCATCATTAATTAAACGCCACTCTTGCTTGGCTAGTATTAGTAGCATAGCCAAATTGAATTCCCTTAGTCCCCTAAAGTCCAGACCGTCCATCTCTGTTGGTTTACACAAATTCTTCCAACTCCTCTATCTCATACCTTTCTGATCAAGCTTCGTTCCTCTCCACCAAAAATCATTCATAAGTTTTTCAGTCTCATCACATAGATCCTTTGGCAATAAGAACACGTTCATAGCATACGAAGGCATTGCCTAGACCACATTTTTCAGCAAGACCGCTCGTCCAGCTCTTGAAAGAAATCTGTTGTTCCAACTTTTTATTCTGTCATAAATTCTCTCTTGAATACCCAAAATAGCTCCTTTATTTCTCCCCACCATAGCCGGCAAACCCAGATACCGCCCATGCTCTCCTTCTGCAAAAATTCCCAGCTTCTATCTACACATATCCCTGGTCTGCTCAACCGTATTAGAGCTAAAGCTGACCGTTGACTTCACAAAATTGACCACTTGCCCCAATAATTCCTCATAATAATTTAAAATCTTTTTTACTGTATCACATTCCACTGGTTTAGCTTTAAAAAATAAAAAGCTATCATCTGCAAAAAATAAATGTGATACCTTAGGAGCACCTCTACATACCGCCACCCCGTGCAATTCTCCCCTACTTTCGGCCTTCCTCAACAATGAACTCATCCCCTCTGCCACTAATATAAAAAGATATGGCGATAAAGGATCCCCTTGTCTCAGACCTCTTCCCGGGACAATCGGCCCTAGAGAGCCTTTTTCGAATTGAACATAATAGCTAACCGTTCTAACACACTCCATAATCAGCCCAATCCATCTGGCATCAAAGCCTATCCGCCCCATAAATTTTTCCAGGAAATCCCAGTTCACCCTATCATAAGCTTTACTCATATCCAGCTTTAGGGCTACATATCCCTCTTTGCCTCCTTGCTTTCTTTTTAACTAGTGTTGTGTCTCAAAAGCTACCACAATGTTATCAACAATTGACCTCCCTGGTATAAAAGCACTTTGATTTTCTCCTATCAAACTTCCCAGAAGCCCCTTCATTCGATTAGCCAATAGCTTAGAAAAAATTGTGTACACTACATTACCCAAAGCTATTGGCCTCCACTCCCTCATATTTCCAGGTCTCTCCTTATTAGGGATTAATACAATATTAGTAATATTTAAATCTCTTGGGATCCTCCCAGAGTTAAAAATCTCCTCGCACAACCCAATCACTTCAGATCCTACAATATCCCAAAACTTTTGGAAAAAAGTCAGGTTCATCCCATCCATACCTGGATCTTTTTCTGGGTGCACATTAAATGTTGCTTCTTTAACTTCTTCTGCCGTAATCTGTCTCAGCAATCTCCTATTCAGTTCCAGACTAACCATCCCCATCAGCCCCAACGTCTCATCAGCTACAGTTCCATTCTGCTCCTTAAATAATTTTTCACCATATCCCCTAGTACACTCCTGTCTGTCACCCAAACTCCCTCCTCCCTCCTCAGCCCCAACAATTTATTTTTCAGTCTACGAGCCTTAACTGCATTTTGAAAAAACATGAATTGATATCACCTTCTCCTAGCCAGAATTCTTTGGCTCGCTGACGCCAATACCGGTTATCCTTCTCCATCAGTGTATTTAGTACCAGGCATGTTCAAATAAATTCAGTGACACTGGTCGTATCTTCCTTACCTCTCAGCCATGAAATTCTTTTTTTACACGCTTGGATCTGATGTCGAACCCTTTATGCCTGCTCCCATCCCATTTTGCTAGTTCTTTTCCACAGAACCATATCCGATCTTGCACCTTCATCTCCTCGCCTGCTCTCCAGCTATTTGCCACAATTGTTCTACACTCCTCCTCCTTCAGCCAATTATTCTCGAA